TACCATGGATAATCACATAAAGTTCAAGAATCCGATATATTAAAGCCGATTATCAGAACATTTATCCATTATTACAGTTACATATTAACAGATCATACATCGCCACAGAAAAACAAAACTTAAGAATGGGGGTACATTCTTATTTCCTCCACCGTTACCTGTTATAGCTATTTTTCCGGAGATAGAATTCGATGCCCAAGATAAGGTCAAACTAATAGTTTGAAATTGGGAATATTGTGGAGGGTCATTATTTTTTATATTCGAGATGGATTGGGCTAGATGCAAGTAAAATGGATTCGAATAAAACTAAAACTATCTACAGGCATGACTGTTGACCAAATTTAATATTTATGCTTTTGAGATCATTTGCTCTTGTGTCTTGATATTCATTATCATTTTCTCTGTTTGTTCGCTAAATTTTCTTAGCTTTATTTTATTTATTGTGGACTAATGAGTGAGGGTGATTCTAATAAACGTGATATGTACGTACTCTCATATTATCATGAGATTCCACTCTTAATACTTATATCTATTTATTTCTCATATATCGGTAACTCATTCCTAACTTCTCTCTCGTCTCCATTTCTAGTGTGTTTGAGTGTAATTTATTGATACCTATTTTTAATGTTGAAAACAAAGCTAAAAACATTTCATGATTATAGTGGCAACTCTTTCGTTTTATTTTGGAATTTGGCAAATTGTTTACTTTGATACATAAATGGCTAATACCACTACAACACCCAAACTATGACAAAAATGCCACTTGTATCCTATTCTTTCCAATATTCCATTTGTGTCCTATCTATGATACTCTTGTGTCATTTGTATCCTGACAATTTTGTTGATTGTTACAGATAACGGTTGACCAGACGGAAGTCAAATTGTTGTGGACTTTTGCTGACGTGGCAAAAATGTGATGGCCACATAGATGCGACATCATTGACACATCACATTTTAATTCAAAATTAATTAATATGTACAAAAAAATCCCAAAATCAAATTCCTTTGCCGAAAAAGAAACTTCAATCCTTCCTCGACTTTTGCTTTTTCGGCAATGGTCGTCGCTCCTTCTTCTCCGGCGGAGCTGCTTCATCTTCTTCTTCCTCCAAGCAAGCTCCGTTTTCCGGCAGATCTTGGTTCAAAATAGAGAGGTCGTCGATTTTTGGTTCCTCACCAGCACGACGAATCGGGGAGAACGAGGGAAGGAAGCTGCTGCGACGGGCGAGGGATCCGACCCCTCTCCCCTCACCAGACCTGCTCTTCTCTAGCCCTTATCGCGCCGCCATTGCTCGCGAAGCCCAGATAACCTCTCAGTATTTGCCTCTCTATCTCTCAAAGATTTCCCCAACCTAGAAAACCATCAATTCCGAAGAGCTAACCCTCTTCAATGGCGACGAGCTCACCCAAGCTAGCAACCTGCGGTTTCTGGGTTTTATCGACGGGTAGGGAAGGGCAATTTTTCTCGTCCCCAGGCCACCGCTCCACTGGCATCAGATCTAGCTATGGTCGCGCCGCCGCCTACAACTTAACCCCTAAATTGAAACCAAATTGAAAGGAGGAATAAGATATTGTGGCCCTGTGACTCCTTCTTTGGCTTCCTCTTCTTCCACCCCTGCTCGATGGAAGATTATAGTGGAGTCGGATTTAGCCGGGGAATAATGACGGCCTCTCCTCATAGTGGCCACTAAATCTTCCGGGGAACAATTGATCAGAGGAGACGGAAAAGTAAAGCAAATTTTCATTTGTTTAACTTCTATAATTTTCTTTTAAATAAAAATTATAATTGAAAATTCCATGTCAGATGTCATGTGTATGCTGACTGGATTTTCCGTTAAAAAGGAACAGTCAACACTGGTCAGCATTAACAGAATAATAATTCAGGATATAAATGGAATATTGGAAAGAATAGGATATAAGTGGCATTTTGTTCATAGTTCAGGTGTTGTAATAGTATTAACCCATACATAAATGGTGCAAGTTGGATGCATGATAACCTATGATGATGAGTGAGAATGTGGGATGCATTTTACTAGTTTCACTCTTCATTTCATTGAAAAATTATATACAAGCTAGAAGAAGTCAACCACCGTCTCCTTTAGCGATATATGTCGGAGAGCTTGTATGAAAGACCAAGCATCTAGGAAGCCAAGTGAGATTTTTTCATGCTCGATTCTTTCTTGTTCGATACATCCCTCTCTGCATGATTATTATGCTTAACCTTTGCACGAGCTTGAGTAGTCACATAGCAAATAGGAACGAAGGAGACATAGGTTTAGCTAATGGCATAAAAGACCACTTTTATCAAGTTATCATTATATCCATTCGTCAAACGCCGTCGAACCTAACCTCTTTCTCAGCTTACACCTTATTATGAACCAATTTCTATTCCTTGAAACCCTATGTTGAATCCTTTTCAAAGTTTCACGTGATTTATGGTTCTACTATAGTATTCTACTTTGAAATAGAAAATTAAATTAGGGAGAAACTTTGTCTTTAAAAATGACATGCTTAAAATTAAAAACCAGTGAGTTTATTTATTATAATTTTTGAAAAACATAACTAAGAAAAGTATAATGGAAAAGTAGAATTCGATGCCCGGGATAAAGTCATACTAATAGTTTGAAATTGATAATATGGTGGAGGGTCATTATTTTCGATATTCGAGATAGGTTGAGCTAGATGCAAGTAATATGGATTCGAATACAAATAAAACTATCTACAGGCATGGCCGTGGACCAAGTTTAATATATATGATTTTGAAATCCTTTGCTCTTTTGTCTTGATATTCGTTATCATTTTATCTCTTGGTTCGCTAAATTTCCTTCGTTTTATTTTCTTTATTGTAGACTAATGACTTAGGGTGATTTTAATGAACGTGATATGTACGTACTCTCACAGTGTCATTTAGTTCTTTTGACTCTTTTCGTTCTTGCATTTCCTCCGAGATATTATCATGAGATTCCACTCTTAATACTTATCCATTTATTTCTCATCTATCGGTAGCTCATTCCTAACTTCGCTCTCATCTTCATATGTAGAGTATATGAGTGTAATTCATGGATACCTATTTTTAATGTTGAAAACAAAGCTAAAAGCATTTCATGATCATAGTGTCAACTTTTTTATTTTATTTTGGAATTGGGCGAATCGTTGACTTTGATACATAAATGGTGCAAGTTGGATGCATGATAACCTATGATGATGAGTGAGAATGTGGGATGCATTTTACTAGTTTGACTCTTCATTCATGGAAAAATTATATACGAGCTATAAGTACTCAACCTGATATGATCCCAAATTTCCCTTCACGTCACAATTACTTGATATAGAAGCTATCAAAGTTGGGAAGAAGAAAGACAGAATTTGGTCAAGTGTTGGTACAGTTTCGAGATGCCTACTTTGGAGGCATGGTTCTTACAATTGGCTCACTGAAAATTGGATTTCGAGGGCTTGTTTTAAAGATAAAGTTTCCATGTTTTCAATGGTAAGCTTTTTGGATCCAAAAGAAGTCATTAAGGTTGTTTGCCAAGGTCTCAAAGTTGCTACCCCAAAACTGGAAAACTGCCACGAAATTGTTAAGTATAAATCTGTGATCATGAAGCCTAGTTCGGAGCTCAATTCAGGGAGCATGGATATGATTCGAGACCAAAGGCTTGCACAACATGAAACTAGGTATGTTTATCTACCAAGGCAAGAAATTGGATGAAAGATCGGAGTTCTGGAAGTTCTCGAACGAAAGGCGTGAAGTTAGTACAAAAGCTGTTTTTGGACTGTTTGGTGGCAGCTTACTTGCACTTGAAGAAAGAGAGTTTAAATCCAAATTTTGTGCCATTTTAACTGTAGACTTTTACCGTAATTGTTTCCTAATTCCACTAGGTTTGTATTAATTTTAAATAGCTTTCAATTTACGTTGTAATAGTTGGAAGATTTTTGTTGAATGAAAATTGCTCCTACGTGAGTGTTTTGAGTTCTTGAGTGTGTCTCGAGAATTTACCTATTGTCTTTAGCTTCGAGTGGATTCCGTACCTAATTTCAAGACCCTTGTTCAAGCTATTCATCTGTGGAGGATTCCATAATTGTTTAGCAAGTTCTCTTATCAATAGATTAATAATCTCGATTGTGCCGAGAATTCTACCTTTTCCATCATTATCGTTCGAGAGTGTGTTTGCTGCATTGCTCTGATAAAAAGCACCCCCCTCGGTGTTTATCACAACTAGCGTATCCTTTAGCGATATATTTCGGAGAGCTTGTATGAAAGACCAAGCATCAAGGAAACCAAGTGAGATTTTTTCATGCTCGATTCTTTCTTGTGCGATACATCCCTCTCTGCATGATTATTATGCTTAACCTTTGCACGAGCTTGAATAGCCACACAACAAATATGGAAGATGGAGACATAGGTTTAGCCAATGGCATAAAAGACCACTTTTATCAAGTTATCATTATATACATTCGTCAAACGCCGTCGAATCTAACCTCCTTCTCAGCTTACACCTTATTATGATCCAATTTCTATTCCTTGAAACTCTATGTTGAATCCTTTTCAAAGTTCCACATGATTTATGGTTCTACCATAGTATTCTCATTTGAAAATGAAAATTAAATTGGGGAGAAACTTTATCTTTATAAGTGACATGCTTAAAATTAAAAACCAGTGAGTTTATTTATTATAATTTTTCAAAAACAAAACTTGGAAAAGAATAATGGAAGAGTAGAGAGCTAACCATCATCTTGTTTTGGTACAAGAAACACTTCTATTTTTTCATTACTTTTAAGTTTCCCTTCATGCAAGCCACTTGTTTGTGTGTCATTGTTGAACTCAACATCGCGATTGTAAAGTGTATTCATCTCTTTAATGAACATCATCTTCATTAGTTTTCACCATACAATGAACTGGTCAGATTCTAATGTAATCTGGAGGGTTAAAAGTGTGATTGTACATAACTAAACAAACATATTATTCTATTCCTATATATAATTATATTTTGAACTTAATATACCTGATTACAATTAGAATTTGCGGGAATGAAGTTCTGTATATTTCTTGATACTTTATCAAAATAAAAAGGCAAAATTCACTTGTATAGTCAAAACTTTCGCGCTTGTGACAATAATAGCCAATTTTGGAGAAATACCACTTAAGCCAAAATTTTGAAAGTTTAATGAAAAATATAGCCATTTTTGCTACAAACTTTAACGGCATCAATAACACTTACATTTTTTAATGATACGCTTATTAGGCAGCCAACTCAGCGAACATGTCATCACAATTGAACAACACTTACCATATAAGATGCCATGTAATATTTTACTTCAAAAATAAATAAATAAATAAATCATAAAGTATTTTATCATTCTCTCTCCTCTCCCACCACTCCATGTGTCCCTAACTCCGCAATACCCAACAAAAAATTTGAACAGCCTTCCTCCAGATCCAAGATCTACTTTCCGTCATGCGCTTGGTCAGGTTACTGGAGATTGGAGCTTGTGTTTGTGGAGATTGGATTGGTGGACCGACTAAAGATTGGTAGTTAAGAGATTGAGCTGCCATGTCTTTTCCACCAAACCAGAAGCAACCAGCTAAAATAGAGCAATGAAAACTCATCGTTCAATGCGGGTAATCCCAAAATATAAATAGTGGAAAGAATTCATGGCCACTAGATCCAGGAGCTTCTTCGTTTGATGCAGGAGCATAAGGCGTCGAAGGTCCTAGGGAGGAAGGGGTACGATGGCGCCGTGACGGATCTATGGTCGTGTGAGGGTGATTTTGTTCATTCTCGTCTCTGGTTTTCTCCCATTTTAGCATTAGAGTTTGAAGTTTCGTCTTCTCCTCTTCCTGAACCCTTGCCTGCAATTTCTAGCCATTTCCAGAACCCAAATCCTGCTTATCTTCTCGTCTTCCGGATTAGATCTGGGTTTACCAAGTTGTCTCTTTGTTATCTGGGTTTTCTATTCACAATTCTTGGGATTGATTTCAAATCCAGAATCAAAGAAGAAAACAATGGTCGTTGGCAAGGATAACAAGAGTCGGCGAGTGGATAACAGGCTTCAGTATGTTCTTACTCACTCTTCATCACTCGTGGCTCTCCCTTAACTCAGGGTGGCATGGACAGATTAGGGTTATTGATTCTATAGAGATTGGGGTTGTTGTTTCGTCAGGGAAGGCAGAAGCTCGCTGGGGTGGTTGATAGTGAGGGGGATTTAATCGAGCAAAATCATCAAATTTTCTCCGCCACTTCATCTTCTTTGCGGGATTGCCGCGTGACTGAGAGCTCGAGTGAGAGAGAGCACCCCCTAATGTCGCCGGCAGATGCGCAGTGGTTCAGAGACCTGGTCGTTGACGGGTGGTTCAAACTTCAAAATCTCTTCGTTCTCAGCCTGGCTGCGGGGTGGTTCACTCTATGGTTGCTTTTGTCTAAGGAGAGGAGGAAGAGGATGAACTAGTCGGGACGGAGGTAGCAAGTGGTAGAGATGAGAGTCGGAGGTTTTGTGTGAGTGAGGTTGTTTTAGGATTGTGGTGATATCCTTAATTTTTTTATTCTCTAAATTCACGTGGATTTTTACAAACAAAATTTGACGGAAATGCTCGCCACGTCAGTACTTACGTTTGTCTAGTGGTAAGAATTGGACGAATGTGGCTATCAGTGGTATTTCTCCAAATTTGGCTATTATTGGCACAAATGTGAAAGATTTGGCTATACAAGTGTATTTTTCCAAATAAAAAATACTCATCCTTCACAAAAATGGATCATACGTGTCTTTTCTACTTTTCGAACACAATTTTCATGCTAATTCAAATTATTTTAGTTGCAAATAGAACTTAGGTTACTACATGCAATTGACACAAGTTGTATAGAAATTTACATATACATCGATCCATTTGCCCCCAACATTGCTGCATTCCCAATGACATAAAAATCATGTTCCCAAGTATGGATTTCAGGAACAATGCTGTAACACCCTACCCTATACGTATTACCTAATCATATTGTTCATACAATTGCAGCGGAAATAATCTCGGGTGTTACATTAATTATCAAAATTTACCTAAATAAAATTTCGACATGAATTACTCGCGTAATGGGCTAACAGTTCTGGCAACTTATCCTGCAAAATAATTCATCACAAACATATATACTCACAACCATAAGCATTGGCTTTCATAGCCAAAGTCACAGTTTCATACTACACAACTGCATACTATACTGATACAAGCCATAATCGTCACAACTTACATAATTACAAAAATATACACATATCATCAACTTTGCACACCTGTGGATATCTCACACTACATCAGAAGCTAGTATGCACATGAAAAACGTTCTCAAAACATTTTTACAAAAAGGTGTGGATCACTGGCCAAAATCCCGAGTAGTAGTCCAAGCACAGAATAGTTGAAGACCATACCTCATCTTGCCTTCAACTCTTGCTCAGCTCCCACCTATACACCTATCTACTACTGCTGCTGATGATCTGCTTACACATGGCATAAGCAGAGAAAGATGATAAAGAGGGTCAGCTCATAGCTGAGTGAGATAATCATAGCATCGTGAGTTCATAACATAGCATACCACTACCATACATCTAGCAAACAAGCCAAAGCACTAGGATCAGATCTCAGCCCTCCGACATCCCAATAGGCAAAAGACTCAACCACCTTGACTTATGCATATGCATCTTATCATGTTTTACTTATAGGCGCCTGGCTACTCCCATGCTAATAACTCTCCCGGGAAACATACCCCACATCCCGTCGGATGTAGTCATACATACCCCAACATCCCGTCGGATGTGGTCATACATACCCCACACCACTATGGGTGTAGTCATACCCTGACACCACTCTGGGTGTGGTCATATCTCGTAAGAAATCTTCAGTCACCACCACATGAGAGGTGTGACTATCATACATATCATAATAGAGTAATAGCATAGGGAGCCCTAATTACTATGTAATTGACCATGAGACCAAAATACTCATATTTCGTATCCTTATACATGATTCATATCTTATCCTGCTTAATCATAATTCGTTACTTGCACATGTACTTGACCTGGCCATAATTGGCTCAACATAGGTAAATCAGGAGTCGTATAATTGCAGTTCCTCGGGATAAACCCTCGTGCAAGTCATCCTCCTTAAACATCATAATATCACCAGGAAATATATATTTTCCCACTTGTGCATCCAAATACAACAATCATGGAAAATCATACCTAATCACCTTCTCGAACCATCGTAAAGCATATTAATAGTCAAGCCCACAATTTGCAACATATACATAATCATCAGCATAAACAAGGTTCATATCAATTAGGGCAAGTCAATAATATCATACAGCAATCCAGGGTTCAACATATAGCACAAAAGTTCATACACCCCTAATCATGCCATTCTAGTTCACCTAAATCAATTCTAAGCATCAATATAATTATCGTGATACGACAAACCCGGTATGCCGTGCTAATCCCTCACCAGTTCTGGTCGTTCAAACACCGGTTTAACCTTCCCGTACTAAAACGTCAATTTCTCGAATGAAGCCCGAATTAAAATCCGAGACCGTCCTAATATCCCCTGCAGTATCCCCGTCAATATTAGTTCTAGGCTCCGTGTCAAATTCTCGATAAAAACACATCAAACCCTGGCCGGAGCTAAATTCAGCGGTTTGGACCCCGGCCTAAATAATAGCCGAAATTCAGGGATTAGAACTAGAGGATTGATTACCTCGCTGCAGGAAGCTCGTATATGAAATTTGGGCTCAATCCGGCTTCCGGATACTCCGAAACCCTAATTTGGCTTATCGGGAATTCAAGAAATTTCTGAACCAAAAACTTGTTTTAAAGCTCTAAATCGATAAATTACGATGAATAGATGAATTAGGCATTACTTACGGGATTTTTGGATCACTTATGCTCAAGAATCGAGCTACCGAACTTTTTCCCCGGAGCTCTGCCTGATGCTCTGCTTCTCCGTTTACTCTCGGTGGGGAAATGGAAAATGATGATGAGAATTGGAAAGAAAGTGACGGGAATTATATGTCGACCGCATTTATATATATTTATATATATATATATAATTAATACGTATACTTATCCGATCGATCGATAATCCGATTTTCGTCGAAATAGTGTCGAAATGCTCGATTTTAAATCGCGAACTTTCTAGCGATCGAAATACGATTTTAGCTGAAACGGGATGTTACAATGCAGTCGACATTTATGTCATCTTTAGCCAATGCATGGAAAGTACTCCCATATTTTTGTGCTTGGTCAAGCATGTTGCTCCTCTCGTCATATTCTTGGAATATTTTTACAGGAGTGTTTGTTAGTAATGGTGATAGCTTTCTAGCTTGTATTTGATAAGGAAGATTCAGGATAACAAAAGTTGAGAAGAGTACACATGTGATCATCTGAATTAGGAGAACCCATTAATCAGATTCTTTTATATTTGCAGGAAACCAGGATCAAAAGAGACTGAAAGGTATAATGACGAGTTATAATTGTGTCTCTCTGTTACTAGTGTGGGAGATGTGAATCCACCATTATGCTAGTAATAAGTTTATAGGGATTGACTCACTTCTACTGTCACTCTAGGAATTAGCCAAGTGAAACCACTTCCTAAGGCGTAGTATAGCGGGTTTGGATTTAAATGTCAACCCGGGTCCTAGATTTGATGACTACTCGGTGAATTCTTGTTATCTAGCAATGAAACTTTAATGCAAGTCTAAACTAACAAACAAACAAAGCAAGTAAATGGTTGTATTCAGGTTAAGAAAGGTCACCCGGATATGGTTCCCACTAAACTGCAGTTAAGCCGGATTGCAATTACCAAGTTCAGTTTCTATGATAGTTATACTGCGGAAGGTTCTTAAACAGCCTGAAGTCTCGACTAAAGGTCTTCAGACCCTCTCAACCTGAGTCTCTAGCGGGCGACTAACCTCCACCGGAGTAAACAGATTGAGGCCCTACGAACAAAACCTCCACTACCGAAGTGAATTCGGTACAGAATAGTGAGTTGGCTCCTCGACTAAAGTCACCAACTCCCTACCTCCAATCAAGGGTGCTCTATTAACCTAGGCAGATATTCTCATTCTAGGTTAAAGCAGAAACAACAGGAATTTGATCAGGATTCATGCCATTCAATCAATCAAACCTCAATTGAATATAATCAAATCATAGAATCAGTACTTGGGTTCATACAATCAAACCTAACATACAAATCTAGGGTTCTCCATACCCAGATGAATGGGAGAACTACTCCATGGAGAAGAAGCAAAAGCAGAATCAGACGCGGAATTCATACTGTGAAGGATGGATTCCTGCTCCTGGACGTTGATTGGCACTCCTCCAAGCTCAAGCCAAGCTCCAATGGTGATGAAGATCAAGCTAGGGCACTTGGAGACTCTTGTTCGTCGCTTTCTCTCTCTAGGAATCGCTCTGTCTCTCTAAAACTCGAATCCCCTTCTGTTTTGGCTGAAATCTGCTTAAAAGGGCATCACTGGGCAAAGCACGGTCGAGGGCACGGCCGTGCTTTGCTCCAGCCCGCCCGTGTTTTGGCAAGGTTGAATTACACGGCTAGAATGTCGGGAGAAACACGGCCGTGCTTTGTCTCAGCCCTGCTCGTGTAATCAGCTCGTGTTTGCCAAACTCAAATCAGCTCTCGGCAGTAAAAGCACGACCTATGAACACGACCGTGTTCTGATTTAGGTGTGCACGTGTTTTGGCTCTAGCTCCACCGAATGACTTCCGAATGCCCCGAAACTCGTGCTTAGCCTCTCCTTTGACGCCTGGGACCTGAAATATGACAAAATAGCACAACCCGGCGTAAAATAGGCCAAAAATACACGACTATGCCCCTCAAACGGATAAGAACTAGGGGTGCAAATACGTGCAATTACATCGTTATCAAATTCCCCCACACTTAACCGTTTGCTTGTCCCCAAGCAAACCTAACTCAAACCAATGCAACTCTCCAGACCTCTATAGCAACAAACAACCTAGATCGTAGGTAGAGGACTTCCTAGATCATTTAGCAGCTTACGAGGTCAACCGACGCACAAGTCATCTCATAGCTTCTTCGGCGAGAACGCTAGTCTCGAGTCGGCATCATGGCAAATAGTGAGCAGAGGACAAATGAATCATGGACGAATGGACTCTCAAAAACAAAAGATCATGGACTCACCTTTTTAAGGTGCTCTATTTTCTTCTTGAAGATGGTTGGAACCCCATTTCTTTTTGTTTTGCTTGTTTTCTGTTATTTTTTCCTTTTTTTTTCAAGGGTCCCAACCTGCTTTTCAGAAAATGGGAGCTCCCACCTAGCAGAGGTTTTGCGGGAGCCCGGCTCTTACCGGCCATGCCAGGAGCGGATGTCTCGAGCCTCGTGCGGGGGAAAGACATGTAAGGGGGCTGGAGGTAGTAGGTGGAAATTGGGAACGAATAACCGTCTCCCCTTACACACTTTCGCCCTATTCGCACGGGAGACGTTATTTTAAAGCACATTTTCGAGCACCTGTTAAACTCAAAACATGAAACAAGAGTCCATGACAGGTAGAGAGTCCACAACACCACACAATTCAAGGGTCCTAAGATCACTAATTCACTCAATCAACCAACACAATATGAAGAAGAAATGAGACTTCTTAAATGCATCAATATCCTCCATAGTGCTACACTACCTCCCTAGGTTGCATATTACTATAAAGACTGTCAATTCAAAGCATACTGAGCAGGCAATTGCAAGGAACACGTACTTGGAGCCCTCAAATTTAAAAATTTGGACAGTGGACTAGGCTCCAAGCACACAAACAGATCTAATGCAGTCAAAAGATAAATATTCCCCCCACACTTAAGATCGACATTGCCCTCAATTGAGAAGAGGGAAGGGAAAAGGGAACGATGTTACCGGTATGCACGGACTGCAGGAGACTGGAAGCGGATCAGTCGGAGTGAAGCAGACTGGAGAGAGGACCAGTCAAGACAAGCACAGCTAAAGGAAACCAAAGAGCTCAAACACAATATGTTAGGTCCAATGGTCAGCCCAATAATACATCAACCAAAACAAAAGAAAACAAACCAAAACCAAACCGGTTTACAATCCGACTCAAAACACAAGAAAGAAAGTCAAACTGTGGTGGGGTTGCCTCCCCACAAGCGCTTCTCTACCATCTTTTAGCTGGACGCCCATGGTGGATACTCAGGGAGGTGCAGGAACAGGTGCCTCCAACAGCGGATCCACGTCGCCCTTGAGGTACAGCTTTAGGTTGTGGCCATGCACCCGCCGGATGCGACCACCATCATCGGTCAGCTCGACCTGGCCATCTAGCAAGATGCAGGCGAGTGAGTACCCGGACGGCCAGGGTGGTCGTGGTGCAGGAGGTGGGACCAGCTCGTAGTGGTCTCCACCCTTCTTCCGTGCAGGCTTAGCCACCTGCGGCTTTGCCCGCCACTCCTCCTTGATCTTTTTGTTCGGAGGCGAGACTGGATGGAGTGGCGGCGAAGGAATGATAGGAGGGTCCTGCAAAATGAGAGGTGCAGAAGGATACACGACAGGCTCGTGTACCTGATCAGAAATGGCATGGACAGGCGTGACAACAATCATAGCACAGTGATCGAATTCAGTCACAGAAAAAGTAGCCTGATCATTCCCAGCACGCAGGATCAGTTTACCATCATGCACATCAATAAGTGCCTTGGCGGTGGCAAGAAATGGTCTACCCAGAATCAAAGGCACATCCACATCCTCATGTATATCAAGAATAACAAAATCAACAGGATATGTATATGCCCCTACATTAACAAGCAGATCCTCTATGATCCCCCTAGGATGCACAATGGAACAATCAGCTAGCTGAATGCTCATCCTAGTAGGGCTAAGTTCACCTAGGTCTAGCTTTTTATACAACTTATATGGCATGACATTTATGCTAGCGCCTAGGTCCGCCAAAGACTTGCCTACATGCATGCTGTCAATAGTAAGAGGGATAGTAAAACTCCCAGGGTCCTTGCGCTTTTCGGGCAGCTTGTTCTGCAGGATAGCAGAACACTCCTCGCTCAGCAACACTGTCGAGAGATCCTCAAGTTTCTTCTTGTTGGTGAGGAGATCTTTCATGAACTTCGCGTACTTTGGCATCTTCGACAGTGCCTTCACAAACGGTATGCTGATGTTGAGCTGCTTCAACATTGCCATAAAATTGGCAAACTCAGTCTCCAACTTGTCTTTGTGTAGGCGAGTGGGGAAGGGAATTTGGGGTACATGCTCCTTAACCACTGGTTGTGGCTTGGGAGCAGGGGCTTCCTTCTCCACCCGCATTCTGCATCGTCGGCTGGAAGTGCTGAAGCAGGTAATGGTTCCTCCTGCCTGGCCGGGACAGGATCAGCAGAAATGGTCTTACCGCTCATGGTAAAAATGGCATCCAGCTACTGATGCTGGTGAGGATCACGAGGATTCGGAATAGTGGTGGCAGGCAGAGTCCCCGGTGCCCTGGTAGTGTTTTGGCGGGCCAAGATACCCACCTAGTGCTGCAGATCTTGCAAGATGGCACCTTGGTTCCTCTGACCTGCCTCCACTGAGGCTACGCTCTGGTCCAACCTCGTGATAGTTGACTGAGTGCTAGTCATGAATGAGGCTAGAATATTTTCCAGCTTCGTCATCCGATCATCAGGGACAGGAGCTGCTGCTGGCTCGGCAAACTGGCGCTGGGGCTGCAGGAATGGTCGCCCCTGTCGAGCCTCGAAGGGATGCCTCTGCTGAAAACCACCGGCTGGTGCTGGGAAACCAGGTGGTTTAGTGGTGTTGCTGCTCCAGGCGAAATTGGGATGCTGGCGCCACCCCTCATTATATGTGTTGCTGTACGGGTCGAGGCGCCGAGCATTGGCGATGAAGTCCAACTGCTCTTGGGGAGTAGTAGACTCCCTCATAGCCTGGCAATCCTCCACTAGGTGATTTGAGCTCTCACACCACTGACATTGAGCTACTAGAGGTGTAGCCAAACCTCTGCCCGGAATAAGACTGTTGGGCTGCTTCAATGTCTGCAATAACTCAGCTACCTGCTGCTCGAGCCCGGATCTGGTCTCCATGGCGTGCACACCATGGTCCCGGGAATGTGTGCCTCTGCTTCTCTGTCCCTAAGAATGATCTCTGGCAGCCAAGTTATTGATCATCTGGTTCAGCTCTGGTGGAGTCTTAGTAAGAATATCCCCTCCTGGGCATAAAGACTCAATCACCCTCTGGCTGTCCGGAGAGAGAGCACTGTAGAAGTTCCCCACTATGAATGCATCACTGAAGCCATGATGGGGGCACTGCCAGAAATATCCCATGTACCGCTCCCATGCATCACGAAGTGACTCATCTGGCTCTTGGCAGAAGTGAGTGATCTCCCGTTGGATCTCTGTAGTCTTCGATGCCGGATAGTACCTGTGCACGAATTTGTCAGCCAGATCGTCCCAAGAGGTGATGGACAATGGGGGCTGGGTCTCCAACCACCTCTTAGCATTCCCAGCCAGAGAATGGGGGAAAAGGTGAAGGCGGATTGCATCATCGGGGACACCATTCAGTTTGAACTCGTTCGTCAGCTGCAGAAAACGGGAAAGATGTACCCTGGCCTCCTCATCCTTCAAGCCATGGAACTGGATAGAGGATGTAATGAGCTGAATCCAGCATGGCTTGATCTCGAAGTTATTTTCTGGAATAGGCGGGTAGAGGATGACCGGGCGGATGTCAGCAATCCGTGGAGTGTAGTAGTACTCCAAGGTGGGACCCGGCGGCGGTGGATGATGATGAACCCCATGATCCTGGGGTATGGGGTTGTTCCCCAGGACCTGATTCACCGGGGGAGCCTGCTGAGGATTCCCCTAGTGTGGATTGTATTCTCCGTCCATCCCGTACTCTTCCTCAGAAATCGCTACTCAGGTGGCCGTCTATGCGCTCTTCCGTAGCCAGTCTAGCTCGCTGTTGTCTCCAGAGTTGGCGACAGGTGCGGTCAATCTCTGGATTCAACGGCAGTAAACCTCCCGACTGGCTACGGGTCATGCACTACCTGCACACACTCAAGCAAGCAAACCCGTGAAGGCACAAGTGGGACAAAGCAAACAAGGCGAAAAGAAAAGCTTAATTAACAGAAATCACTTTTCTTCAACAACCTAGTCATCCCCGGTAACGGCGCCAAAAACTTGACTCACTTCTACTATCACTCTAGGAATTGGCCAAGTGAAACCACTTCCTAAGGCGTAGTATAGCGGGTTTGGGTTTAAATGTCAACCCGGGTCCTAGATTTGATGACTACTCGGGGAATTCTTGTTATCTAGCAATGAAACTTTAATGCAAGTCTAAACTAACAAACAAACAAAGCAAATAAACGGTTGTATTCAGGTTAAGAGAGGTCACCCGGATATGGTTCCCCCTAAACTGCAGTTAAGCCGGATTGCAATTACCAAGTTCAGTTTCTATGATAGTTATACTGCGGAAGGTTCTTAAACAGCCTGAAGTCTCGACTAAAGGTCTTCAGACCCTCTCAATCTGAGTCTCTAGCGGGCGACTAACCTCCACCGGAGTAAACAGATTGAGGCCCTACGAACAAAACCTCCACTACCGAAGTGAATTCGGTACAGAATAGTGAGTTGGCTCCTCGACTAAAGTCACCAACTCCCTACCTCCAATCAAGGGTGCTCTATTAACCTAGGCAGATATTCTCATTCTAGGTTAAAGCAGAAACAACAGGAATTTGATCAGGATTCATGCCATTCAATCAATCAAACCTCAATTGAATATAATCAAATCATAGAATCAGTACTTGGGTTCATACAATCAAACCTAACATACAAATCTAGGGTCCTCCATACCCGGATGAATGGGAGAACTACTCCATGGAGAAAGAAGCAAAAGCAGAATCAGACGCGGAATTCATACTATGAAGGATGGATTACTGCTCATGGATGTTGATTGGCACTCCTCCAAGCTCAAGCCAAGCTCCAATGGTGATGAAGATCAAGCTAGGGCAGTTGGAGACTCTTGTTCGTCGCTTTCTCTCTCTAGGAATCGCTCTGTCTCTCTAAAACTCGAATCCCCTTCTGTTTTGGCTGAAATCTACTTAAAAGGGCATCACTGGGCAAAGCACGGTCGAGGGCACGGCCGTGCTTTGCTCCAGCCCGCCCGTG